TAGTCTAAAATATATATTTATTAAATTTAATTTATCCATAAAATCTCATTTTTGGAGCTCGAATTGAACAAAAGCTAGGAGACTGACAGCACCAGGACTGTCCCTCAGTATGCTGGTAATTTCTAATGCAGGTGCCTGCACATATGTCAATTGCTGGCCATCCATCAACGTCACATAGTCGCAATTTTCTACCTTCCAAAAGTGTGCATTAGTGCCTGAGGTTTATTTGATGGCTTTCTACGGTTCCTGTAGGCAGATGATGCCTTTAGGCTTATAATTATGCAGTGTGATCATGGGAGAACATCTTGTGAATCATTCCACTGCTGAAGCAGAAAAGCCACACACTTACCTGATCAAGTTGACATACAGATATTTCGTTTTCTAACAATACCATAAAAGCAAGAGTGTATATATAGTGAAAGTCCTTTTTCATTTTATCCAAATAAATCATTGAACAGCTGCTGTGAAGTAAGCAATGCAGTTATATGCTAACCCACTCATAAATCCTGAGCCTCTTGTTACTGTAGCTACTGCATTTGACCTGTACAATAAGCAGAGATTCACTTGATCTTGATCACATACACCTCCTTGCTTAAAATTTTTCCTACAGTATTTGCTAGCTAATACATGTTGGTTCAGGGTAATGCTCTGATAAACAAATAACATGCAGTAGCTCAGAAGTAAATGCTAATATTAACTCATCTGTTTTATTATTGATACCCATAATATTTTGGTGATAAATTATGAAGTTATTTTGATTCATTACATTACAATTATTTGACTTAAAGTTACCTTTATCATACTTATCTAGAATTATATTTCCCATAAAAAATCTTTATTTCTTGCCATTGATACTTTTTTTATTACGTGTAGATTGTCTACTACGTTTACTATCTGGAATCGGGTTCTGTAGTGGATTTCCACTCATTGTACTTGGTATCTCTTTATCTTTGCTATTAGTATCTATTATATTATTCCCTAATTTGCATTTATTTGAGTTAATGCTCGCTGCTTCTTTACATCTTACTGTTGACATTTGTTGTTTCTCAGAGCCCCCCCTCCCCACCTACAACACCTTCACATGTCCTCATTGTCTGTTCACCCTCACTCAGGTTTTCACTTTCCCTATCTTCTTCCTTTCCCCCTCCTTTGTCTTCCTGTTGTGGCTTCTTAATTTCCATATTTATTTTGTCCGCTTTATCTTCTTGACCATGTGCCTCTAAATCTTGTACCCAATGTTGGGCATCACCCAGACATCTCCACTTTAACACAATTGGTACCGATTTGCTTATGGTAAACAGACCATTTATCACTGTTGCTAGTCTTTTAGCAGTATACGCTTTCCCCTGAGAATTTAAATGCAAACCATGTCTGGTGAATAAGTCCCGATTTGAGTCCACTGTTACTATAGAAAGATTTAAGTAAGCCTTTTCTAAATTCACGAGTTTTCTATTAAACTTTTGAACTTCATCATTCACACAGGAGTTTGATGCAAGGTCATATCTGGGTGGGACATTTATCACTATAGCATTTGTGTGATTAAGAGAACTAATTATCTGTTTTAATGCTCGCATTCCAAGATTAGGCTCATTTCGACCAACATCATTTGAACCACCCCACACAACACACACATCATTCATCGTTAGATCCTTCAAATCCGAGTCGGTGAGGTGTACTAATTCTCCCACTGGAGATCCGGGTTTTACCAGTCCCTGAGTCTCAAAGTCCAGAGTTAGCTTGCCTTTTAATTCATTAGCTAGACCTCCTGCATGGCTATCACCTACAATTCTGATTTTATGTTTTACCTTATCCGAAATTTCACTTATATGATTTACTTTAACAGACTTTTTCTTCCAACATCTCACGTTTACAGGGATTCTATTCGTTACATTGGTTGGATTCACGTGGTTTTTGAGGTTATTCAATTCAGCTCTTTCTTCATACAAAATCTTGATTACTTGTTGAGCTGACTTTAATTCCGTTGCTGCAAGTTTAAGATAGTCCTTCAATATTTGACATTTTGCACAATCAATTTCACCACTATCACCGAAATCTTGATCAAAAATGCGAGAGGCGAAATTAAGAACAACATCAACTGCCGCCATCTTGAACACCATCATGTCTCATGAAGCTCATGAAATGAAGGTCATGAACTATTTTCATCACAGAACCTTATAACCCTGACGACCCTGACAGACCCAGTGTTACATGATATCAACCTGTGAGGAAGAAAATTATATCAGGCACTGAAAGATATCAAATAATAAAATGTAATGTTTGCATGATACAGAAAAGGACAATAAAGAAAGTAAAATTACATACCAATATCTTTTATTCTATTTTTATACTTTTTGGCACAATATTTCAGAGGAGCCAGAATAGAATAGTCTGTATGGCAACTAGCTATGGGCTGGACGACTGAGGTGTCTGGAGTTCAAGTCCTGGTAGGGTCAAGAATTTTCTCTTCTCCATGTCGTCCAGACCGGCTTTTGGGTCCATCCAACCTCCTATCCAATGGGTAACATGGGGGCTCTTTCCCCTGGGATAAAGCGGCCAGGGCGTGAAGCTAATGCCAAGATCAAGAAAATGTGGGTCTATATGTCCACTACCCCATATGTCTTCATGGTATAATGCTGAATTAGTTAAGAACAGGGAAAACTTTATCTTTTACTCTTACAATATTTCATATCATGGTTGGTAGACTCAAAGAAAAGGCAGGTTAGGGTCCTGCAAAATTAGTTATGGCTTTGTTTTTGCACTTTACCACAGATGGGATGTTTAGACACTACTCCACCCAACGGTAAAAGGTAAAGTTATTGAGTGCTTAATGAAGCACTATGCCATAAAGACTTATTGGGGAGTGGAAGTACAACTCCACGCATTAACCTTAACACCAGATTGAGGTGAATGGTTAGTTCTGCGCCCCAACTGTTTGTTCCCAGGACCCACTGTATAGGAGGTTAGGTGGGCCCCAGGGCTGTTCTTGGAATTAGAGAAGAATTTCGTTCCTGCTTGGAATTTAATGCTGGTTCCCTGGTTCTCCAGTCCACAGCCTAGTCACTATGCCAATATAGTTATCCCAACTGCACCCAAGGGTACCACAGTTAAATTCAATTTATTCTGATTCTGCTTATCTGAATTTTGGAGTATTTATGATTTGAATGTTTCTAGATCTTTAATGGGTGGATGGGATCTTTTAACCCTCCAACAGCCAAGCCTTACCTTCAATTGACCAGAGATGTAGACAGCAGGAAAGCCTGTTCTTTCTCTAAACATTGCTATATAATACTTGATGCCACCTATATGCAGAAATGCCGTACCAAGTGATTAATATCAAACCAGTCTCTTCTGCTGAGGCAGTTTTAATGTACATTCACTACGCCAATCTAATCAGTCTGTGTTTTGCTAGTCAATGCTACCCTCAAATGCATAAGAAAATTACGTTTTTATTATGATTTCAATTTAATGACTGAAGAGAGATGAAGTGACAGGAGGTTGGAGAAAACTGCATAATGAGGAGCTTCATAATTTGTACTCTTCTCCAAGTACAATTAGAATGATCAAGTCAAGGTAGATGACATGGGCAGGGCATGTAGAACGAATGGGGAGAAGAAGTATGCATATAGGATATTGGTGGGAAAGCCGGAAGGAAAGAGACTAGTGGGAAGACCAAGACAGGTGGGTGAACAATATTAAAATGGATCTTAGAGAGAACGGGATGGTATGGACAGGATTGATCTGGCTGAGGATAGGGACCAGTGGAGGACTCTTGTGAACAGGGTAATGATCATTTGGGTTCCATAAAATGCTGGGAAAATCTTGAGTAGCTGCAGAATTGGCGGATCCTCAAGAAGGGCTCAGCTCCATGGGTAAGTAAGTTACAGTTTAATGTGGCAATGTAGCATATTGTTCCAGTCTGTTGTAAATTTGCATTTGTCCTCTAAGTTGTTTAAAATGAAGGTGAAAATGTAAATGCTCTAATGTGCAGGATATGAGGAAATTCATTTTTCTGCTGTTTATTTAACTGCAATGAAACAGAAACTGAGACAATACAAGAAGTCTCTCACACAGTGACAAAATATCATAACTTTAGAGTGTAAGATTCCTGGTGAAATATTTACATTTTAAATTATTTTAAAGAAATGAGCTACTGACATCTTGTAATGTGGTGTCGGTCTGTGACAGCAAACCATGCTCAGTGTTTTTTCCAGCATGTGCAATATATCTTCCTGCACTGCTGAATGACATACCCCAGACAGATGCAGCAAGTAGTGATCACACAGAACACATCCTTCTTCTGAAGGTCAGTGCCACACTACNACAGTACAACAGTATTTATCAATAAATTACTAGAGTACCTCATCCTTGATTTATGTTCCAGAGCACATTAAGTTAAAATAATTCTTCCTCTTACTAGTAATATAATTCCCAGTTTGGGAGTATTTAGGCTTAAGAACAAGGCCTATTTAATCTCTAATACTGTGTGCATTTAAGTAAATATTAAGGAGCACATTATGCATCAACAGACAAATAAGTAGAGGAACTAAATAGATCAGAAAAAGTAGCAATTTACTTTCGCTGCTGACGATGCCTTTTGATGGAAATTATTTTGATTGAGTATGGATGCTTTTAATGAGGTGAGGAGAAGGGGGCAGAGGTCCTCTCTTCCTTCCATAAATTCATTATAGCATGAAACAGCGTTGGATATGGCTCTGAGGACCGGCACACATCTTTTATGTACTCAAATTCTGCATTTCAAAGAACTCAAATGCAACTTCAGTTCTGTTGAATGACTCTGTCAATAATTTGGTAGGGTAGGGGGGCTTACACATTTCCTCTGCAGTTGTTTTATTTGCTTCCCATTCTCAAGGATCATTTCATTTTCATTAGTTTGAACGTCAAACCTCACCACCAGAATCCAAATCAGTTATCAACCCTTTCCAATCCTATATTTAACTGCATTCTGATGTGACTCTTCTCCAAGACAATAAAATCAGTGAGAAAATGTGCATTCATATCATTTCTCAAGGCAAAATTCACTGTAGTTTTCTTCACCTCATGGCAACCGTGTCCCATGTTTAGGACTGAACTCCTTCCAGAATTCACCGAGGGTTTTATGCTTCTCCTTTTCTATGGATTTCACTGCTTGAAGGCTTTAAAACTGGATGATACATGATTTATGGGCTATGCTAAAGAAGACGGATTTGCAGGAAAATAACTCTAATGTCAAAATGAATATTATACAAATGTTATGAGCACTGTCAAGCAACTACAAAATTTTCAAGAGAATTATTTCTTTGCACAGTAAAATTCACTGTGGGCACAAAATGTATGTAAAACCAGTTTTTGGAAATCTGTCCTCCTTTATCTCCCATCCATGTCACTGGTATGACTTATTTTTTTAATACACGAGAGTTTTCAGTTTGATAGACAAACAGTGGTGTGAGTCTGAAATGCCTTGGTGCATTACTGCTGAGAAAGACAGTGAGGCAGTCTTTAGCAGCTTTAAAGTCAGTGATTCTTTCCAAAAGGAGTAAAAAGTCATGTTTCTTCAATGTTAAAAGTTTGATAAAATGTGTTATTCTCCTTCACAGTTTTGTGAAATATCATAAAATAGGCTCCTGCCTTTTCATCAACACTAGCTGCTCACCTTTCACTTATTCTGTGCAGGCAAGCTCTAGAATAAAATAACACAAAACTCCCACAGTTTGCTTGGAGAAATGGTGTATTATTTCCAAGATCAGTTGCTTTTAAATGCTCACACAGGCTCACAGATTTTTATTATCAAATAAGGCTTATGGCATTGATTTGCTGATAAGGAATGTGTGTCTGATTCTGATCACCAGTGTCATCAACAGATTTTCCATTCTCTCAGGTTCACCACTTTTTTTCCTTTTTGGTAATTACTGCTCAATGCACTGAAGTAAAGCTTTTGCATGTTCCAAAATTCTCTGTCCTTCATAACTATTCCAATATTTGTACAATTAGAGCCAAAAGCACTGCCAAGGGGGAGAGAGTTTCACTTTTCACAAGCTGCTTTATTATGTCCACTGTCACTTCAAATGTTACTGCCCCTATATTCTTCTCTTGGGCTATTCAGCTATTTTAAGGGCTATTAACCCCCACAATAACAGTTGAAATAACCAAGAAATTACAGAGGAAAAACTGGATGTAAACATACCCTTGCTGCCACCACTGAGTGAGCGACTTACAATATGCACTACCCTCAAACGGCATTCTCCCACAATATTAGTAAGCTACATGTTGCCAATGAGGGGGTGACTCACTGTACCTAGCACCTTTAAAACCCTCCCCCAGGTTGTTGTTCATATAGTCCACAGAAATTGCTATTCTGCAATGAAAATTTCGATTACTTCTGATGGGAAGTATTTCTTATGCTATTTGTACAGACAGAAGTTTGCATGTCGAGGACCAAGTGGATTTTAACAAGTTAAATGTACAATTTTACGATTAATCCATTATTTATGATTTACAAAATACAGAAAAATAAGTATATAATAACTCCATCCCAAGAAGTAAGAATAATGATAGTAAAAAGGCAAATATAATACACAATGTTTTAATTATTCTTGACAGGGCTGCCACTGTGTTTTGCTACCACATCTCGGTTTGATCTCAGCAGAAGCAAAGTAAAGATTGTTCTCAATGTCCAGTAGTTGCAATGTTTCATTTTTGGAGCAAATAGGAAGAAGTTGGCATTGTGCTAGTCTAGGAAAACAGTACAGAGCTATCTGCACACAACTTGGTTACTGAGGCATATACCTGAATCAAAAAACATCCAATTGCAAACCTGGATACTTATGACCAGGGCCCAGACTTTTATGACATGTCATCTTTTTTTCCTTCTATCCTATGCGATGCTCTTAAATATATAAATCTCGGATATGAGCTGCTGGTTACAGAAATGTAAATTTTATAGGTAATTTTTTGCCATTTTAGGGAAATTTTCTTCATATGTTTTCTGAAATGTGAATAACATGGAAGCGAATTGTTCTTTCTTTTTTCCTTTAGATCATTTTTCTGAATTTTTTCGGTCATTTTTTTAATATTTTCATTTCATCAAAATCTGGGCCCTGCATATTACATTTCTGGGTCATATTTCAGGTCATTTCTCTGAATTTTTTCGGTCATTGTTTAAATATTTTCAGGTCATCAAAATCCAGGCCCTGCTTATGACAATTCACACCTTACAAGTGCAACATAATATCATTCTGAGTAAAACTCATTTTTGATCGAAATGATCTGCACCCCCTTGAAATCATATTTTCTCCTAGGGGTTACACCCTATAGGATAAGCACCATGGCATGACACTAAATAACCCTGCTGTTTTAAGACTGCCTGGACATTTCCTGCATTAGTAGTGATTTTTCTTATCTTCTTCGGCACCTCTCTTTTCCTTTTACAGGCCAAAGCTGTGAATGAGTCACAAGTTTAGCCTCTCATAACAAACCATGTACTGCCTTACAGAACAAGAACCCCAACAAGCTGCTTCCAGAACCACAGGTGAAGCGTACTTCATACACAGGACTTGTTGATAATGTACAAATTCAGAGCTGTTATGTTCTATGAGAAGAGTTTTTTCTCTTGCATCTTGATCTGGTCACTCAAAAGATGACCTGTAACTTTTAGGCCCAGAGATTCTGTAGCATCCCTGCTCATCTACCCAAAGTTGTCCATGGTGGGTGGAATGTACATGTTCGTGGTGGTTTGCTGATTATTCTACACGTCATTTAGATCAATTCCATTATTTCACATTGTTTCAATTTATTTATAACAGGCTAAGTGTTATTTCTAAGATCTGTTTTTGTGTATCCAAATCAGTCTTAACACATGTTAAATCAAAGCTTCTAGCATGTTACATAATTTGAAAAACTTTATGCCATTCATTTTTCTGTACTAGAAACATTTACTTTTGTCTTGCTGTGTACCAGACATGTTGGAGACATGTCCAATCTTTCTTGTCCTCTCCACCCACAAATCTCTGAGAAAATCTTCTGCTTATACAGTGCCACCATAATACGAGGGTCATACTGAACGTCATGAGCAACAATATTTTGTAAAGTAATATGCTTTATTATTGACAAACCAAATACACCACCTCAATCTACAGACCTTTCTTTATTTTTCCACATAATCGCCACTTCTTTGTACACATTTCTCCCAGCGTTCTGGGAGTTTGAAAATTCCCCTTCTGTAAAATTCCATTCCAGCCATCAAAAACACTGACGCA